AAAAAAAAAATGGTTGCCTGTAAAGTCGTTTTTACGGGCGAAGATTTTACGTGACAACGTCTTTTTCTCGGTAGAATATTTATTGATATGAATATAATTAAATTGCACAATAGGAACAAGGAATTGAATGAACTAGTGCTGCGCGCGCGGCAGACCGATCATAGTTGAGTGGGAGAGAGACGCAAGGCATTCGGCGGGCCTCTCTCTCGTTCGGTGACTCATCGTAACGTTACCGAGCGTTACACTTTTTCATAAGTGACTCCCAGCCGCAACCTAATTTAAGACGTTGTCACGTCAAAAAGTATGAACCTTTGTAAAACAAATCAAATGCAACAACATAGAATACTAAAACAAAATAAACAAGATAAAAATGAGACGCTTACTAGCAGAAAAGTGTTACTACTGTTTGAATGACTTTCTGGCTGACACTACTTTTTGACACTGTATTAATAAATGTAGACCGCAATAATATTTAATAATACTTTTTTGACATCTTAATATGAATTGTAATTATTATAAATTGAATTTGTACTCTCCTAAGGGCAAAACATGTATTGGACACTGATTTTAAACAATGAACATGTAAATATTTGTAAATATTTTAATTTTATCAATAACCTCGGTTTATATGCCATGGTGAGTGGAGGGGTAAACAGTGGTACAATCCAGTGGAAACGGGTCGTGACCGGGATTATTATTTATATTGCATACAATATAGGATACTTCTACACATACAGTTTACTCTTAACTGAATCGTAATACATTTATTTGGCGATATTTATAATTATGTAAACACCGGTATGTATTTTCATAGTCTACTTATTTATTATATGGAGTTACAATTTAAATATTGTAGCAACAAAAAATAAGATTACTTGAAAAGAGTTCACAATACTTTCACCTACACTTTAAAAAGACAAACACTATCTTACGTAGGGGCGGAACTATAAACGTTTGCGTATTTTGTGATACATCTTTCATGCTTTTGTATGAATGACACATGTTTATTCAAATAAATTATCTTTATCTTTAAAGTTTTATACAAAATTAACTATATCCTTCAGAATCTGTGTCTGAACAGCAACTATCTTCTATATTAATCTCTTCCGTTTTTATATGAGAACACCTGTAACAAACATAAATACGCATCATCATCATCATCATCATCATCAGTTACAAATAGAAGAAAGAAGGAAAAACCATTTTCATATAACCTAATTAAAAAATAAAAATAAAATTATTATAAATTGGAAAGTGAGTTTGTTTGTTCCGCTTTCACGCCGTAACTACTAAACCGATTGCTTTGAATTTTTGCAGACGTAAAGTTAGAAGTTTGGATTAAATAATAGGGTAGTTTTTATCCCGAAAAAATTTGATATTCCCGAGGGAAAACAAAAGTATTGGTATAGATGGCGCTGTGTGTATTGGTATATGGTCACATAGGCTACTTTTTATCCTTTTGTGATGAGAGCGAAGCCGCGGGTAAAAGCTAGTAAAATATAAGCTAAAAAATGAAAAATGAAGTCTTGTCCATGGTCCACAGAGTTATTTTGCTGAAATGTTAGAATACTTAATATCTATATTATATGTGGACCATAGACAAGGAACACCCTACTTACTTCATAAAAAAGAGTCCCATGCAGAGTAGTATTATCTCTAAGACAAACTAGGCAAGTAGGTCGCTAAGTTACAGAGGGGCGCCCATGGTGACGGCGGCGCCAAAAAAATTAGGGTCACTGGCAACACTGTAGCGGCAGGATCAATGCGTGAAATGAAATGGACCGGTTCACGAAAACACCGTTGCGCGGCGGCGGGCAACGAGCGGTGCACTCCAGTCAAGAGGTGCCCGCCACGCCGCCCCGCCGCCATGATGCCCGCAAAATTCGAGGCAGAAGCCTATGAGGTGCTTGTCTCTGAGCGCTCTAAGGATTTAATCCGCCTATGTCTCTAGTGTTGTCAATGTCCATGGGCGGCGCCAATTGCTTATCATCAAGTGATCCGTCTCGTCGTTTGCCAGCTTATACCATAAAACAGGTGGAGCGTGAAGCTGACGGAAGACATCTGGGACGCCCTCCCGCTTCACCCAAGGCGGGGCAAAATATTTTCTCACGTTCTTGCTCGTGTTGTCAAGGCTTTGAGCCGTACCGGATCCCAGGGACAATGTACCCAGGTCAAGGTAGAGTTCATCGGAGAAACTAGCCGGCTGATCACCAGAAATGTGAAAGGACCAGTGCGTGATGGAAACATTCTGACTCTTCACGAGTCTGAGCGTGAAGCCAGAAGACTGCGATAAACGATCGTGGCTAGCTGCTGATTAGGTTAACTTAAAGAAATCGTCGATGATGACCATTATCCTGACACATAATAAATAACTTACACAACATACATAACATCACGCCTTTCATCCCTGAAGGAATAGACAGAGGTGCACATTACGGCACTTAATGCCACTGCACAATGTAACACCCACTTTCCATTATTTTATGTTATGAGACCCATGTAACAGGAGGTGAGCCTACTGCGATATATCGAGCACATTTCCAGACTCCGTGCTACCACTGAGAATTTTTAAAAATCCAGTAATACCTTGCCAGACCCGGGAATCGCACCCGCGACCACTCGGCCAATGAGGCATAATGAAATTTAAGTTAGGTACTGTTGTATAGCTTTAAGTGCCAATAGAAAAGTGTTGAAGGCAATTCCCCCGCTTACATAAGCCACGGGTGACCCCCAAGGCGTTTGACGTGTTAAAAATAAGTTATTATACTCTGTGGTTTCTTTGTGATTTTTTTTCTATCCATTATATAAAATTCTCGTGTCACAGTTTTCGTTGCCATAATCCTCCGAAACGGCTAGATCGATTTTGATGAAATTTTTTGTGCTTATCCGGTATCTATGAGAATCGGCCAACATCTATTTTCATCCCCCTAAATGTTAGGGGTAGTCCACCCCTAAATTTTTTTTTACTTTTTTTGGCCAAAATTTTTAATTTCTATTTTTTCATGATACAACATACAAAAATACATACAATCCTCAATTTTCACCCTTCTACGATCAACCCTTATTTTTTAATAGCCATTTTAGTAATTTAATCATTTTTCCTCTCCGGTCGAAAACTGATCAATCGAGGAAATTATTTATATGGCAAAACAAAGTTTGCAGGGTCAGCTAGTATCTATATAAATATGTGCATTTATTTGTTCTTTTCTTTTTTAATTTTGTATTTTTTTTGTATCTGTGTGCGTGCCTATCCTTACTATCCTTACTTCCTTACTAATATTATAAATTGGAAAGTGAGTTTGTTTGTTTGTTTGTTCCACTTTCACGCCGTAACTACTAAACCGATTTCTTTGATATTTTGCAGACGTAAAGTTAGAAGTCTGGATTAAATAATAGGGTACGCTTTATCCCAGAAAATTTTGATATTCTCGAGGGAAAACGAAATTATTGGTATAGATGGCGCTGTGTGTATTAGTATATGTCACATAGGCTACTTTTTACCCTTTTGTGACGCGAGCGAAGCCGCGGGTAAAAGCTAGTTGTCGAATAAATGTTTCTTTCTCTCTTTCTTTCTTAAGTGGAGACTGATAATGAAATGTACTCACGAATCTAGCGGATTGTCTGGCGTTGGCCCTTTATTGTCAGACTGCTTCGGTTGATAACTCTGTGACATCGCTCTGCAAACAACAGATCAATTGGGTAGACGACTAATTTTTAATCTAATGTCCGTCTGGTAGATTATTGAAAAACATTAGACACGTATTTTTTATTTTCTTACGGAAACGAATAGTTTAGAATGTAGATTTGAAATATTTAATTTGTCTTTATATCAAAAACTTATTGTACCTATTGTTTCGTATTGTATGTAGGTACATTATTTTGTTATATTTTTATGATTTTTGTTGTTTTCTTTACGCTTTTAAGTAGTATTTATGTAAGTATCTGTTATTTTTATTTTTCATAATCTTTATTTGTGTGCCATTTGCCAAATAAATGCTTTTTCTTTCTTTTCAAATAATCGCATGACGTCACTTTTGAGTACGATTTATACTCTAAAATGACGTAGCTACCTCCCTCTACAAAACTTTGATTCGTTTTATCTAAGTATTGTTTTCTTATACGACACAATAAAAAAATACGTGTCTAATATTTTTTCATTACCTAACTGACGGACTAATTACATTTTCATACTCTGTCATCATCCCTATTGTTTAGCAAATGACATGGTTCTTTAACCGCTTGAATGTCAGTAGGTACTATATGAGACACAATAGTGCAAGTGTGGGAGAGCCATGCTTCGGCACGAATGGGCCGGCTCGACCGGAGTGATACCACGGCCGAGCAGAAGACTGACGTGAAACAACGTTGTGTTTCGTCGTGTGAGTGAGGTTACCGGATGCCCAACTCCCCCCCTTTCCCCAATCCCTGAATCCCCAACAATCCTCAAATTCCTAATCCGAAAAAGTAGATCCGATAACGTACTTGTAACGCCTCTGGTGTTCCAGGTGTCCATGGGCAACGCCGATTGCTTACCATCAGGTGATCCGAATGCTGTGATAAAAAAAAAATTGACAACGCATTGTGTCTCGCGTAGATTACCGTTCCGGAATACCAGGGGTTAATCAATGCCAACCGGTGAACTTAATTAAAGTAGGCAAAAGACTTTTCTGCTCCCTGTCCGTATGCAAGCTTAGACCTTTAAAATTACGAAACTGATTTTGACGCAGGTATTCAATAAATATAGCTATTTAAGAGAAAGGCCATAGGCAAGTTTGTCTAGCTAGGTTTTTTTTAAGGGGGTAAATCATCAAATTACTGCTCCCGCCTGGGCGAGGCGGGAGGGAGTGTCGGACTCTTACTGACTAAAAACCACCCCGTTCCTTCTCCTGCACGTCGAGCCGGAGCCCCGGTAACCCGTTAGGTTCTCCGCGACTCCGAATCGGCATCGGCTCTGTTGGGCTCCATCTGTGGTGGTCTGATGGCCCTTTGAGATGCGGAACACGACGCGCCGTACGCTCGGGTCTGTTTCAGGTCGGACGGGGAACCACGGCTTCCCTGAGGGCACGGCGATGCTCAGCCCACACAGGGCATTCTCCCACCGTGTGTTCCACCGTGTCCTTAGGGGTCTAGCTAGGTTATTCCATTATTTTCATGTCGAAAGTTTGACGTGAACTGGATTGCGGTCCGCCATGTTATTGCGATGCGATGTGAATTCGCAACGCAGAAAATTACGATGCAAATTGCTGCGGTGCGATTTCGTGCGACAAGGCGTCTCCCAGGGAGACCATTCCTTCGACGACCGTCAACCGTACTAAACGTATTTTAAATTGAAAACTAGGTCGTGACATGGATCGTGTGCACTTCTGTTATTGCTTAGGAGATTCAGGAAAAAGAAACAAAGAAGATTTTGGGAAGATAGATTATGATGCGCGACGCGAATCAATTCGCAAGTTCTTGCGATGCGTAGAGGGAGCTCGCACATTTTTGCTGCGCGACGAAATATCGCAGTTTTGTGCATGTAAATCAATTAACTGTAACTAGAATACTACGCAAAATCATATAACATACACGGGGGTGATTTGGATACTCCTCATCATAAAGTATCTAAATTTTACGCTTGAACGTCAATTGCCTAGCCACCCTGTATCCGCTGTGCCCTCAGGGAAGTGATCGGCCATGGCTACCTCTCGTTTCCGGGCCTAGTGCAGGCCATGATGCGGAGCGAGGGGGACTGGGATGCCGTTTGGGATGCCGTCTCCTCCTTTTGCGAAGCAGTCATGCTAGCTAAGGAGGAGGCGGGACGCGTGAGGCAGCGAAGCGCTGCCTCCTCGCAACCCAGCCATCGCGAAGGACACACCGGGCGTCGGGGATCGCGGGACGATCTCCGGCCACCGTAAGCGCGGGCCTGCGGACGGCGAGCATGGGTGGCTCCCCGTCCGACCAGAAACAGACCCGAGCGTACTCAAAGAGCCATCAGACCACCACAGATGGGGCCCAATAGGGCCGATGCCGATTCGGAGTCGCGGAGAACCTAACGGGTAACCGGGGCTCCGGCTCGACGTGCAGGAGAAGGAACGGAGTGGTTTTTAGGCAGTAAGAGTCTGACACTCCCTCCCGCTTATTTTCCCCCCTTAAAAAAACCACCCTGTATATAATGTATAAGGCACTCACTGGTCTGACGGTGCATCTGATGAATCCGAATCGCAGGCGTGAACTGGGAGCGAAATGTTCGCGACCGGTTGGTCCCTACAAAGAACAGACAGATAGAAATTGAAATTGATTGATAGAAACAGGATTTGATTACTTATCAAGAGCATGACGATACGGAGTCGCGGAAGACTTAACGGGTTACCGGGGCTCCGGTTCGACGTGCAGGAGTAGGAACGGGGTGGTTTTTAGTCAATAAGAGTCTGACACCCCCTTTCGCTTCACCCGTGCGGGAGAAGTCATTGGATGAATTTCCCCCCTCAAAAAAGAAAAAAAAGGCATGGTGTAGTTAACGATCAGTAAAAGTGACTAAATAGATTGAGAAGAGGTGGAAAGGGGAAACAATTTATTATTTAGGGTCAGTCATCATCATCATCAACATCCGAAAGACGTTCACTGCTGGACAAAGGGCTCCCCCTTAGTCCTCCACGTCGAACGACAGCAAACAGCGTCAAAACAGACTGCACGGTTGGTGCGGTGGCTGGGCAACCGGCTGCCGTGCAACGTGTCGCGGGTTCGATTCCCGCACGGAGCAACACTTTGTGTGATCAACAAATTGTTGTTCCGGATCTGGGTGTCACGTGTATGTGAACTTGTGTATTTATAAACGCACCTACGAGGCTACGACACAAGAGAAAATCCCAGTGGGGCAAAGTATTTAAAAAAAAAATTAACAAAATATCTATTTAGGCTCAGTCATCATCATCAAAGACGTCTACTACTGGAAAAAGGCCTCCCCCTTAGTCCTCCACGTCGAACGACAACAAATAGCGTCACTGTAGCTTTTGGAGGAGGAAGGAGGAATCATTAAATCGCTCCTACCTCCCTGGGTGAGGCGAGAGGGAGTGTCAAGCTCTTACTGACTCAAAACCACCTCCTTCCTACTCCTGCTTCAAGATGGTCCCAGGTATCCCCTGCAGTTCGTGCTCACGTAGCCCGAGGTCATGTATGTTTATTCGTATATACACAACATAATAACATAACATCACGCCTTTTATCCCCGAAGAGCTAGGCAGAGGTGCACATTATGCCATTACAATGTAACACCCGCTTTTCACTATTTATGTTATGAGTCCCATGGGAGTGAGCCCTAGTCATATACTGGACACAATTTCTGACTCCCTGCTACTACTGAGATTTTTTTGAAAAACCCAGTTATAGTTTGACCGATCAGGGAATCGAACCCGAGGCCCCTTGCCCGGTAGTCGCACTTGCGACCACACAGCTAATGAGGCAGTATAATTATCCTTACTATCCTTACAAATATTATAAATCTGAAAGTGAGTTTGTTTGTTTGTTCCACCTTCACGCCGTAACTACTCAACCGATTGCTTTGAATTTTTGCAGACGTAAAGTTAGAAGTCCGGATTAAATAATAGGGTACTTTTTAATCCGGAAAATTGATATTCCCGAGGAAAAACAAAAGTATTGGTATAGATGGCGCTGTGTGCATTGGTATATGTCACATAGGCTACTTTTTATTCTTTTGTGACGCGAGCGAAGCCGCGGGTAAAAGCTAGTACATAATAAACTCAAAAACTGTAACTTACGCGTTCGTTTCTTCCTTTGGCTCCTCCTTCACAAATACCGTCGCTGCGTTTATCACGTTGGGCTGAATCTGCAGTGGATTGCAACAGCTGCCGCTGGAGAGCAAACATGTACAAATACGATGCGAATTAGAATTTGCCATTATTTTATTCGGACAAGACCACCACCGTCTCCCAAAACCTTCGTTGCACCAGGATCTTCAGTAGATACAGCCATGAAATCACCGAAACACTGATGTCCATCGCGTCTCAGGGACATGAACCACTGTCTTGGATCCCATAACGAAATAAACAAGAAAATAATAATTATAAGAGAAATCTAAATTGTTTCCATTTCTCTAAAGTTTCTATCCATTTCTCTCTTTTCAGTAAGTGTGGGAGAGCCATGCTTCGACACGGATGGGTGGCTCGACTGAAGTGATACCACGGCCTCACAGAAAACTGACGTGAACCAACGCTTGCGTTGTGTTTCGTCGTGTGAGTGAGGTTACCGGACGCCCAATGATACCCCTTCCCAATGTCCCCAATCCAAGAATCCCCCAACGATCCTCAAAATTCCGGTAACTCACTTGTAACGGCTTTGGTGTTCCAGGTGTTCATGGACGACGCCGACTGCTTACCATCAGGTGACCCGTCCGCTCGTTTACCGACTTATGCCATAAAAAAATCCATCGGCCAAATGGTCCGGCATCGATGGTCCTGAGTACAACGGCCTCAGAGTAAACTGGCATGAAATAACCACAATGTTGTGTTTAGTCGTGTAAGTGAGGTTCCCCAAGGCTCGACAACTCCGCCCTTCAACTCTCAAGTTCCTAAACCGAAAAGGCCGGAAAAGAAATTCTAATTCCTCTGGTATTGCGAGTGTCAATGAACGGCGACCGCTTACCACCAAGTGATCCATCTGCTCGTTTGGCAGCCTATACTATAAAAACCAAAGTAAATATCTTAATACTTCACTAATATTATAAATGGGAAAGTTTGTGTCTATATTTGTTTCTCAGTCACGTCATAATGGCTGAAATTTAGAATAGGGTTATTAATCCATTTATCCCCAAGCCGTCACCGGTGACCGCTCAACTAACTACATTATATGTAGACCTTATTTCCGATGTTTGGAGACTACTTTTGTATAAACAAATTCAGGGGATGATTTTTCTTATGATCTGGAATAACACGCTACTTTATATCTCACGAGAACGGGACGGGCGAAGACGCTGGGAGATTAACCAATATTAATAAATTAATAATGATATTATTTATTACACAACTCACTCTTTTAAACAGATATGTCCAGGCTCTGTCATAGAATACGGGGGCGTCTCTTCGTCAATAGCAAGAGGGTTTATCTCACTGCAAACAGACAAAAATAATTATGATATATAATTATATAAAGAACAAACAGTTTAACTAAAAATCGCTGATTACTCACGTGAATATACTGAGAAAAGCTCTATTAGTTTCGCATCAGCCTACTCTGCGCGACATCGCCGCGACCGCACACGCTGCTCATGAAGAAGAACCCCTCTGTGGTTCAAAACTAGTAGATCTATTCTCAGTACAATACGTGTATAGTCTCACGTGAGTAACCCGCGATTTTAGTTAATTTAGTATGTCTCACGATAGTTATTATAAAAAAAAAGAAATAGTTTGTTGTTTGCATTGAATAGCTTCCGAAACAGCCGATGGGAAGTTCTGGGCGCTTAGGTACTCTTAAAACTAATTTCAATGTCAATGCAATAAAATTTGCACACTATACAACCCTTATCTGAGTTTGGCTTCAAATGAATATGAAGCCACACTCAATACCATACAGGTCATTCAATATCCATGCAATACTTACGGATGCAATTGGCGCTAGTGTTGCAACTCAAGACGATCAATATATCAATGACGATCGATAAGAATTGGATTCAAGAGTAAGCCCCCTGATTCATCAGATGGTGCTAATGGGGGTAATGGGATCTACATAAGTCAGTGCCTGTCTTATGTCGAATCACTGTAGCTGTCAAAAAATGTCTATCCAGCAGCTGTAGCCAAACGCCACTTTAGCGCTAGTCTACAGAGAGAGTAGAAATCAAAATGTATGGGGATGACACTGATAAGTGTCAAAATTTACGTCAATTCCATATAATTTGGTTTTCTATTCTACATGTAGACAAGCGCTAAATGGCATTTGGCTACTGCTGCAGTGGTTTGATATTAGGAAGTTCTCTATCGAGCAAACAAAATCTCATTCTACATTAGCACCATCTGCTTTGCACAAAATTCATTGCTGGACACACATTATTTGAATATGATATTGAAAAATATAGTTTAAAAATTAGGTAACAGGGTATTTTCCGACTAGTCTCTAATACTTATTTCTGGGTCAGCGAATTCTGTTACGCGATTAGAAGATGTCAATTACAGTGCTTGCCAACTAGTCAAATTCAATACTTTTATCGAAACCGAAACGACAGTTTTTAAGAATTTTGTACGAGATTGTGTATTGTGACGTCACGTTTTTTTAGCATTATACAGCGCACATATTTCGGAAAAATTTGCTGGAAAACCAACATAAGTTGGTCATAAAATGAATTAAACTGTCAAACACCGCGAGGACACCGGTGACCGCAACCTATTGTTCTTTAATTACTCCCTCCCGCCTCACCCAGGCGGGAGCAATATTTCGATGAATTTACCCCCTTATAAAAAAATTGTTCTTTAATTGTGTGTATAATGATGGTACTCAAAGGGTTAATGAACGAGTGATTATTTTTAAATATTTTAATTTATTGAACAGTCGAAATAATTTATTTTTGATTAAGGCACTTGCCTTAGGTACTTACCTAATAAATGTCAGTTATGACGTCGCTTCATTTTAACGTTAATTAACATACCTACTTTTTAAAAATTAATTAGATATATAAAAAAATATAAGTAATATCGTCAATACAATGAAATAATGAAATTGACTATTTATTTGGTCAAAACATAAGCATTGCCATACAACGTAGCTGTCAATCTTTCGGGAGTGTTACCCAATGATAGTAATGCGGACGAGTACTTTTGTCACCTAATTTTTTTAGTTACTTTTCGTTTCTTTTTCATTCACAAAAAATTTAGTTTTAGCTTATTTTTAGTTCTACCTATTTATTTATTTCCTCGTTATTTAAGTTTCAAATTTTTTATTTAAATAAAATGTTACGAATATTCGATGTAAGTGTGATTCAGATTTTTTTGAAGTCTTATTTTAGAAAATTATCATTTTTGAGTGTGGAAAATACCCAAATACGCGGTCTCCGTACATTTCAACGCTCCGACTTGGTGTCGATGGCAGGTACAGATGATTAACACTCTCTTTGCTCAGCAAACTGCTTTTATTAGTATCATCCTTTAGTGGAGGGCTAACATAACCTCTATCTTTTACAGAAATACTATGTTTAACTGCAGGATTTTCTACCACTTTTTTATAATGCAAGTTTTCATTCACACTATTGCAAAATTCAGCGTAACTATCATAACTTTTGTCCTGTGTTTTAGCTTTATTCAATCTTTTTTTCTTGTAGTATCGTATCACATTTATGATCTCATGTTTGGCGTCCAGTTTATTTTCAGCGTCTATAGCTTTGAAGTCATCTAGGAGACCTAAGAAGAATTGTTTATCAGGGTCAGTATCCTTTGATAATTTGTCAATGACCTGTTTGGTCACGCTATCGATCAACATTTTGCTGTTTACACATTCAGTGAATTTCTGTTTTTTTGTTGGTACATCATTTGTTGTGTCTATTGAGGTTCCCGGATCAGAATCCCGCTTGCCTCGCTCTGTCATGACTTCTTTTAAAAATACCAGTTTATCAGCGTATGTATACGGCTTCGTTGTGGTGGCTGTCGCATTTCTTTTATTTTGATTTTTAACATTTCTTGCAAAACCGTCGCGCAATACTTTCCATTTGCCTTGTAGTTCGATTGCTGTAAGTGAAAAAAAAACTGAGTCATTTGGGAGAACCCTATCATCAGACATCAGTAGTGAAAGTATTGTGGTAGACAGGATAGCGACGAAAGCGAAACCACGGTAATATCTTTTCCTATATAAGCATCAAGCGGCAGCTTGTGGATTATATAAATGCCGATTCAACACACTAACTGCTTGCTACACATCTCATTATATTTGGGATTTTATTTGTTCTGTTTGACATTTGAGGTAAGCATCAACCGTCTCTGCGGAAGATTGTGACCCACGTTTGAGACGGGACACCGGGGTGAGTTTTAGTCAGTAAGAGTCTGACAGTCCCTTTCGTCCTCCCCAGGCGAGGGATTGAGGCGAGCTCCATGAGGATTTCCCACCTTGGGGTTAAAAAAAGCATCAACTGTCTGAACGGGGTATAAGACGGACTAACTAACAGACGCACAGATCTCTTTTGACACTTCAAAAGTCCCTGTACAGTACGGTGCACGAGTTATGGCGGGTTTGAAGTTAGCCGCAAATCACTTTCGCGCATGTATACTCGCAAATAAATTGATTAAACAATAAAACGATTGTGTTTAATTAGAATCAATCCCTGGCATATCCCTGTCCCACACACGTCGCCGTTTTGGTATGTAAAATACGTTATTGCGCAGTTTTCTGCGCGCACTTCACACCCGCCATCACTCGTGAACCATACTGTATTTGTTTAAATGAAATTAACTCGTCGAGTACCGTCTTTGTAGACACAATAGGCATGGCGACTATTTTTTAATTTTTTGTCCGTCTTTTAGATATTTTAAAAATCTTCGATACGTATTTTTTCTTTTTTCTCGTATCCAAAAAAACATGTAGATATTTTGAGTTAAAATGACGCGTGACGTCACACTTAGGTACGATTTCTCCGTAAGTGTGACGTCAACACCCCCCACTCCCTAACTTTAATGCGGAATAACTACGTATTCTTCTGTTAATTTGATAAAACAAAAAATACGTGTCTGATATTTTCGTGCGATCTTAATGACGGACTAATTACTTTTTTGATTTTTTTACCCTGTCGACACGCCTATT